TTACCTTCTAACCAATTCCCTTTTCCTCTCAACAATATTCAGCGGATTAGTGAGGCATGCACGCCGGTGATACGACCGCTTTCCGGTCTGACTGAGTCTACACCCAGTATGTAATAACTTTGGCGCCCAGCAGAATCAGCTTCTTTCGAATTCAACGACACCGTTACCACCACTACCACCACCACTCGCACACCCCACCCCTCCCCCCATTACCTCCACCTCAACGGGCAGACGTGCTCGGCGTACGCTATACACAGAGGGAGTAGGCGCCTTCTAAACCAGTATCCAGTAATCAACCCACTTTCATAGCTAACTTCAGCCCATCCCAACCCAACCCACACCCGCCAAGTCCCTTTCTTTGAATTGTTAATATATTTATCTCTATATACACACAGACGGACGACTCATTAGCACATATGAACAAACCGGCTATGTTTTGCGTACACCACGTCTCAAAAGGAAAGTCAGTTTTAAAGTTTATATATAAAGAAAAATGTTCGATTTGAACCGAATTCATGTATTTTAACTCAGGGTGGGTCGGTTGAAAGCAAAGGTGCCGTCACCAGTCCTATGGCCAAGTTCCTTAAATAAAATACTTTTTACTATACTCGATAAGCAGCTAAATTATAAGAGCGATAATTTACATGGGGTGCAGCTGCAGTTAAATGGTAAGAATCACCTCCGAAGGCAGACGACTCAGTTCTTGGCTGTTATTTATTGGATCCAGAAAAGCAATATAGATGAGAGTATTTCTGTTCGATTAAGAGGAAGCTTAATACAAAGTGCGGCATATAGGAGGCAGTTGTGGAAATTAGAACACAAGATAATGCCCCTACATCAATGAGGCCACTCGCGTATACCAATAGGTAAGGGAACATGTAATTAACAGTCACTAAAATAAAATGGTATCCTATTCCAAAACTAGGAGAAGTTTGAAAAAACGTTTTATTTTATGTACGATAAAATCTCATTCACTGAAGTCCGGAGAAAGGACTGCAGACGCTCAGGGACTGAGGTTTGTGCCTCAATTCCTAATATAAATATTCTTCAATCCGCAGAACTAATTGAGTTACCTGCTTTCAAACTCGTAGGCTGGGGCTCTGGCTACCAAATAACGACTACTGAACAGAGATTTGATAAAAAACGAAGGAATTGGAATGATAATTTTTCCTCGTGAACTGCCGGTTGGCGACAGCAACCTCAAGCGCATAGACATGGAAGTTAAGCCAATAGCCAAGCGCTCTACACCCAGAAGTCCTAGTTAGGATCCAGACAAGTTCTAAGGAAGCTAGTACAGTAGCATTCTACCATAGTTGTACCACAATAAAGCTCACTCTGGTGGAGTCAAGATGTTTTGTTTTCTAAAGCGTAACTGAAAATCATTCTGTTAGACCATCAGAATCAAAGCACCGGAGCGGGTTGCCGTCGTCCTCCTAGTAGAATGAAGTCGAATTGACTGCGAAGTTTCCGACAGATGAAAATTATTTTGCAAGAGATCGTATTTTACTGGTGACTTAGAAACTAGACCCCCAAGAGTCCAAGGTCTTGCAATTGTCTGTGAAAAACGAAGTTATAAACTCTTTTAGTATTCGTGGGAATTACCACAGGCTGGCAGCTCAAGAATGTT